TAAGAGGAGTACCTGGCGGAGCGGTGTGCCGTGGCAGCGCGTATGAAACGGTAATGGAATACTCTGCGATCTCATGTAGAAATATAGACGATTGCGTCAGAAAGATAGTGTAGTCCGCAATGGACAGCCTCGTGCCACTTTTGCGGCCGAAAGTTGTATGATGAAAGAACTAAAGTGCGGAGTTCCTTAAGTGACACCTCCTTTTTTTACAGTGATTCCGCCCCTAAACGTCGCCCTGAAAGTCCGCCCTCCAGGGAAAACGATGCTATCAGAAAAGAATCATGAAACGAAAGCGCTCGACCGCTTGAGGAGTCCAGTAGTGTCCAACTTCTCTCTTCGTAAAACCTCGGCATTGTTGTTACGTTTGATAAATTCTTCTGTGCACACGAGGTTGGTAGGTAAAGTCCATAATAAAGTTCCACCTACCAACCTCGTGTGCACAGAAGAATTTAACAAACGTAACAATAGGAGAAGCGTTAGGAATTAAGCCGCAAAACCCACTGATCAAGAACAAGTAGGAAATAAGAGTGGCAAGTGAGTCTGATATCAGTGTAGGACGTGCACTAATGAGAACAAACGTGACATTTTCCAGATCGCCATTCGTCCTACGTCTGTATATATACCCAAAGCCCTACCACTATTTTTGCCTTTATCCGCATAAGAAGGCTAGGCACAGCAGGCGCTCCGCCCTCTATGGTGACCGCCGCCCACTTTCAGAGAAGCACTGTTCACTTATGGAAAATGATCCAAATGGGCAAGCAACAGTCTCACCTAGTAGGTCAGAACCTCCCCCCCCCCGTAGCACGGAACGAGAAATGAGGCAAACTTTGGTCGACGAACGACGCTTTGTCAATTGAGACTAACGTGGTCCACATTTCAAGAGCGAGCTTTGCTTCTGCAACGTGGGCGGGCTTCCGACAAAAGGCGAATCTACCTGTTGCCGCTTCAAAAAAAAGCGAAAATTTCAAAGAAGAGTAAAATGCTCAGAGCGCTGGGTATAAATGCGGGTCTATGAGTACATCCTCTTCGTGAGGAATGCATGTGTAAAAAAAACACTTCAGTATTCGCAAAAACTTTCCCAGAAGGTGGGCGGAGTGGTATCTGTGCTTGTATATCAATCTTTCTCAGTTTAGTGTACATTTGAAAAATAACAATAGTGTAAACAAGCCACAGAAGCACAATTTATAAAGCGAGTTGTGAAAAACCATGACCGCACTGGAAAACGGGCGGGAAGGCAGGGGTTTGAAGCAGTATCTAGCGTGGTCTTGTTAATCAACTTTCCAAATTAAAGACTATGTCCTATTTGGTTTGAAAAGCGTCGATTAGAATGAAAATGGTATGTACAATAATTACGGGCCAAATCAAACCTGGCAGATGTACGGCGATCAGATGCTATAAATGTCATCAAAAAATAGACTACGATGAAAAGGTTAACAACATAACATTTCAAAATCAGTGACACTCTGGGCACCGAATCGAGGATCTCTCACCTTTTTTCAATTTCTTTTCAATTCTATAATTTTGGGAGTTGCCGAACACCCATTTTTATTCTTTTAATTGAGCTTAAATAATTCTTAGAATCCCCTCGAAAGAGCGGGAAAACAGCGCGATAAGTAATAGTTTACAAGCAAGGAGAGTAAAAGTACATAAATTAATGGATCTGCCGAACTACCTACCATGCTCTCAGTCTTCATGTACAGGGGGGGGGGGGGGGCAAAAAAAAAGTCACTTCGACCGAGTCACATATCAGCAAAGTTTTCGCAGCCCAGACAGAGGACGTGGATACGAGTACCAGGGCGGAAGATACCCAAGATGTTCCTCGATAAGCAGGAGCTGGCTCTCGCCCATCACCTTCATGTACACCAAAATATGAAGTCATCTCAGCCTGACTGGAGAAGACCTTTGGAATTCATGTCACCTCCAAACAGCTGCGAAACTTCTAGTATGGAGTCACCCATGGATAGCTACCTGGAGACCAGTACTCTCGATCTGGAAGACCTCCAACATCGAGCAGCTCCGACAACGTCGCACGGTCTAGGACACATCTTCACCGCAGTCGCCAAGGCGCGGGTTGATGGTATGGACCGGACGTACCTGGAATGGAAAGACCGATATTTTCTTCGTGGACCCCGGACTGAAGGTGAGCGCTGGCGGTTACATCGAGCAACTCGAGAAGATATCCTCCCCCATGTCGTCGCCCGTACCTTCTTGGAAACTTGAAAACTTTCTTGGATTTTTTGTACTGCTACAGGATTGGGTGACACCACATGGAATCGAAGGGCGTTGGGAAAACTCTCGCCTACTTGGAATGGAAGGGCGTTGAGTACCTGAAGGAAGATGGAATATCTGAGCAGGTCACCTGAACTAAACCCCCTCAATTACCTGGTTCGGGCGGAGTTCAATAGGGTGGTCTACAGTGGCGGAGAAATCAACGATCTCGCTGAACTCAGGTACCCACTCACGGTCGCGTGGAGAATCTCTCGATGGCGCTCCTCCAGAAGGCTGTGGCGAAATCATGATAGTATTTAATATGCTCTTTAATATGGTGGTAGAAATGTCCGATCAGAAATTTAATAAAGTGTAACTTATAGCGCCTCGAAAGTCAAGGAAGAAAAGTGTCTTTTTTGCTCCCCCCTGTATTGGTTATGGTTACACCCCATTTCGCCGCGGATGAACGGGGTGTGTCAGGTAATATGAGTGTACCACGGCGCCAAACCCGTTCTCTGCCAGTTGCTGAAGCGGGTATGCGACAAGAAATTGGTAGAAAACGAGTGATACGAACGATATGATACAGTTTTGTCATTTGCTCGCTTCAACAGCTGGTGGTGAACAGGTTTGGCACCGTGCCCAACTCATCTCACCCGACGAGCCTTCGTCCACAGCGAGCACTATACTTGCATTCAATGACAGGTATACTCCCGCAACTGAACATTTTTCTGAAAATGTTCTATACTGGCTGAGTAAATGTTTCGCTTATCGCCGGACGGCCATGTGCAAAAAGTCGCCGCCGCGCTGAAAATTTCATCGCGCGCGGCGAAATAGCGCGCTCAACGTGTTAGCACATGTTCAACATGCTGCTTGTCCTATGCCGGGAACATTGTGTTTCTAGGAGCGATTTCAACCTTCCGGAATTTTTTTTGTTTATAATTGGATAGTTCTTTTTTCACTATCTCATACATCCGTGGGAATGCAGAAACGACGTACTAGATGTATACGTAGAATATGAAAGATCGTTGTAAAACGGCCGCTTAGCCGTTATTATTTGTGAAGCAGAAGTCGTACTTTCTTGAAATAGGTCACGCTAAGACGGGCTGAAACCGGTATACGCTGAGCGCGGCGACTTAGCTTCTAGAGCAGCTGTGGCTTCTGCCCGTCGCCGGGAGGGGGACAATATAAAATCGTATTCCTCACGCATTCGCGCGCGGCGCATTGTGCGGCAAATTATCGATCGACATCAGTTTATCGGTTGGAGCAGCGAAAGTAATACGAATCAAAGACAGTCTCTTCACCGACTAGGAAACCACATATATCGATCTACCGAACGGCAGCTGACCACAACCGTAGAGCCCAGAATTATGTAGTTCAATGTTCAGTTCAATTCCGTTGTAGTAGTAGTAGAAGGTGCGGTTAGACTCGTTGCTCACGATGCCTAATCCAGCTGTCTGCTCCCTCCTGCTTCCCCTGCTCTACTAGCAGTCTGCTACCCTCCTACTTCTCCACGTTCTCCACTCCTGGACGCTGGTGGATGCTGCCGTTCGCTAGATCGATATCTATCCTTTCCTAATCGCTGACGCCGCTCGAAATGCTAATGGTCGCCGGTGGACGCTGCCGCAAAGTATGAACGCAGCCCTAGAGGGATAGGCGGCAGTATATCACTTTGGTAGCATGAAACGAGCAGGTGCGCTGAACTCGTATTGTGATGCTTCCAGGCTCATTACTTGAAGTGCTTAGTGACTTTTCGGCTTTTTTTCAACCCTGGAGAGCCACGTTGAGGCCACAGGCTCGTAACTGAACGCCACTATTCACAATACGCAATCGTGATGTTTGTCTTCGAAGCAGAGGCAAGACTCCATACCGAGTTGTACCGATTTTGCCCATGTCCTCAATATTTAGGCATTGAGTGGCAAGGGGAACAACTTGTCTCTAATGCGCGCAGCCCCTCGCCATGCCCAGCGAGGCATACTCCTTTTCATTCGAAGAGCTTCATGAACATCTGAGGACGGCAGCGTTCAGACTTTGCGACGGCGGCACTTCGATGCAGTCGAAAGCATGCGCATCGATCGTCAAATCGCGCGATTGGAGCGCTACCGTCTGAACGCGAAGTCTGAACGCTGCCATAAGGGTCAAAGAAATCCTAAATGGCCATAATTAGAATGTTCGCAATGCAAAGGAAGCCTTCTTCGCCTCACAATCAACTACAGATTACAAACACGCAATTCCCCACCGAAAATTGCAGAACAATCACTTCAGACAAAGATTTATTTAGATACAACAGCTTTTATGTTAAATATTCAACAAAATTCAACTGGTAATAATGTAAACTAACTCAAAGGAACTACCCAACACCCGGTGACTCGTTTACATGTACAAACAACTGGGTTTCCAAGGAATCTATACTAGAATACCACGAAAAATGATCAACATTTTCGGAATTACTATATGAGATTACCATACGATGAACAAGAGAATGTAGTTTAGACAAAGGAAACTGTACAACAAATAATAAGAACAAAATTTCAAGTGACAACAAAGATCTTTAACTGAAGTTGTCTGGATCGTAGTTGGGTGAATAAGGTGATGACGGCGTGTACTGAAAATAGGGCAATCGACTTGAGAACAAAGTCAAAAAAGACAGCAAAATGGATGGAACCTACATTGGGAGAGCTGGGGCTGTATTGTGGTGAACTTGGACTGTACTGAGGCGATGATGGAGAGTACTAAAAATAGCGGTTTTGAAGATAAAAATCCAACCCTGAATATTATAATAATGGTATTGAACGAACCACTGGGGAGGCAGGATTTCCTGACGGAGTGTACTGCGGCGAACTGGGAGAATACTGAAATTAAAATTATTAGAAATGTATAAAGGAATTCGAGTAACTCCTTCAAAGAGAGCAGTAAAAACCTGAGGACTGCTTGGAGTATATATAGGTGAAGTAGGGCTGTACTGTGGTGAGGACGGTGAGTAAGATGGCGAAGCATCTGGACGCGGAGAACTGGGAGAGTACTGAGGAGACGACGGAGAGTACTAAATCACATAAATAACGCTTCTATACTGTAACGTTTTGAAGTAATTACTTACCTGTGGACTGCTTGGACTGTACTGTGGTGACGTTGGGCTGTAAGTGGGACTTGTGGGAGAGTACGTTGGCGACGTAGGGGAGTACCTGGAGAGATGATGTGAACCGTAAAAAACGAAAAAAAATCAGGCGAACAGATGTCGTAAAAGAAGGTGCAACGCACCGAGGACTCGATGGGCTGTAACCGCTGCCGCCATAGCTGGGACTCGTTGGGCTGTACGTTGGTGACGTCGGCGAATACGTAGGCGATGTAGGTGAATAACTGTAGAAGTAGTAATGTACTACAGCCTCAAGGAATTCATAAAGAAGACGCTTCAACTTACGTTGGACTGGTGGGGCTGTATGTTGGTGACGTTGGTGAGTAACGTGGGCTGCTTGGAGAATATCCGGGACTTGTTGGAGAGTAAGATGGGGAAGTCGGAGAATAACCTTGAACAGCAAGCGTGAATACCATCTTGGTGAAAAGCGTAACAGGTAACTCTTAGAAAAGGTCACTCACTGGGGCTGGTTGGACTGTAACTGGGTGACGTAGGCGAATAGGATGGCGAGGTCGGGGAGTACGACGGCGATGTTGGAGAATAGCCTATAAAACGCTTTCAACAAAGAGAAGTCGAGGAACATGTTCCAGCAAAAAAACGCACTTGGACTCGTTGGACTGTAACTTGGCGACGTCGGCGAGTAGGAGGGAGACGTTGGGGAGTAATGAGGGCTGGTAGGAGAATAGCTTGGACTTTGCGCTCCGAATGCATTTGGACTCGTTGGTGAGTATCCAGGCGACATCGCTCCACCGTAACGTGGTGTAGCTCCTGACGGGGACATGCCTCCTAGAGGATCGGCAGGTGAAGTTGGCGACCATCCTCCCTCTCTGAAACAAACATGCATGAATGACAAATAACTGCTGCTGTGCATTTCACCTATATGTCCACCTCTGTTAGCCAACGTTCAGACTTCGCGACGGCAGCTGTTCGGTCGCCCGTTCAACGCGATCGATGCGCATGCTTTCTACTGCATCGATTGCGCCGAACGCGCGACCGAAGCGCTGCCGTCGCGAAGTCTGAACGCTGCCTTACCGAAAACATCCCTAGAAGTGCAGATCCTTTCTTCTAGTACACTCTATTAGATTGACTGCGTAAAAAAGGAGACATGTTTTGGTTAAATTATGAAATTAGAATTAAGAGCACTGATCATGTTTAGGCAAGCAGCTTCGAATTTGTTGGCGCTTAATATGTATGACTATGGCGTAGGAACGTTAATAACTCGAGTATTTTCTGTTTTCCGAACAGGGATGTATATTTTAACTCAAGGACGGGGGAGCATGCTGAAGTATGTGGTTTCAGTTGTCAACGAAACGACGAATTGGGACACAAGATGGGTGGAGGTTGTACAGACTACGAGCATTGCGCGCAACGTGGGAGCGTCATGGATTCGTTTGTTCATCATATTCAGAGCCTTAATACAGCCACTCCGGTGTGGTAATACAATGACACAGCTGTACAGGAGATGAAAGTTGGACAGTTCTGAAAAGCGGTTGCAATGTAGACCACCGTACGGGCTCTATGGCATCTGTTTCAGAATATTTCAGAAAGTTTCGACGATTTGGACAATGGAACGAGAGATACTGCTTTGCTAGGTCACAGATGTTCGCGTCGATTGTCCCGGGAAGAAAACAACGACTGGAAGCAGGTATGATAGTAGGAGTAGTTGCTTATGTCGTTAGTCTGCACGTTCGAAGACGATTGTGGTGTGACATAGACTCGGCAGGGCGCTTTGTTCCAACGTTGGTTTAGAAACAGTCTATATTAATGAGTAATGGCATAAAGAAAAAAATATGAAAACACTGGGCACTGCACTCTTATTGCTTCTATGAGGAGAAAAACAATTGTTTTGGATAAAAACTTTATACCGTGCTTGAAAAAGTCATTGGCTGTTCAGCTCACGTATTTCTAGGCGCTGTTTACATCAATGGTAGAGGGAATCTGATGTCGGAACTGAAAGCGAACGGAGTTTCTTTTTCGATTGTACTCGCCCAAGTATCAAGACAGTCTTGGGCCAAGTTGCTGCCGTTTCAAACTGGATACGACAGAAACCATTTGTCCGGCAAGAGGATGAGCAGAGTGCCTGTGCCCATGCTAAAACTTCGGTGTGATTCCACCAGTACATGTCGAAACCAGCACAACGCGATGGATGGTGATGTGCAAGTAATCCTGTCTCGAACGCCATAGAAAAGAGTTGTGATGTGATTCTAGGAAGGATCATGAAAACTGTATGCTGTATGACATCATCGACGAGTTCAGGAGTGGGCTCGTTACCTCATGATTTTACTGAGGTGTGTCTTACAAACTGATGAATAAAATGGTATTCAGATGGGACATATAGCATGATGCGGTTGAAAATCGAAGGAATACTTGCGAAAAAGTTTAATGAGAGATCCAAGTTTTGAAGAAGTTTTCCCATAATTTTCTTTTTCTACTATACAGCGAATGTAATAGTGTACATTAAATAGAAGCATTTCTTCAAGAATTGTCCCTGGTGAAAAAAAAGAAGTGAACGTGCCGGGGTGAGACCACACTCCATTATACCTATATAACAAATAGCAACCCCTTACAAAGTTCAAGGATTAATCTCTAAGTACGAACCCTCCGTATCCAGGAGACATTCCGGTTTCTGAATGGCCTGATGGCGAAAATCCAGCTGCACCCGGCGTCATACCACTTCCGATTGGCGACCATCCTGCTCCATATCCGGGAGTCATACCACCATTCCATGGGGTGGACACAGGAGACATTGAGGAGCTGCAATAAGTTAGTTCATCTACAAGCACTAACAAAATCATCCACATTCTGGAATCAATCTATTAACTATTCACTAACCTAGCAGGACTGTGTGCTGTGCCATATTGCCCAAGGCCTCCATACATACCCATCATAGTCGACACCTGCAAGTAAGGGTGATAGTGGTCATTGCCAGAACTATTGGAAGGAGATATGGGAGTTTTCTGCGAAAGCATAGATGATTTCAATGAAATGCACTGAGCGTCTGGGAAGAAAGAAAACAGGAAAACAGCCAAACACAAGGTAAACATAGATTAAGAGAAACAAGTATCATGAAAGGGTAGGTGGGGGTTTAACCCATTGCGTACCGCAGTGTATTTGCGCGACGCGATTTCTGGCGCGCTGAGTATAAAAACATAAGATTTTTATCTTATACATATAACATAAAAATATTGCACACACATCGTATTATGCATCACTTTTATAAGTATACGTATGCTAAAGGGGATTCAATATTGTTACGTGATAAAAGTGTAAAGCCGAAAAATGCGAAACTAGCCAAAAAAGCTTGATAAAATTAAGAGGAGTTGAAAAAGTGACGCAGTGTGCTTAGAAGCTGTTCACTCACACCATTTTACAATTTTTCAGTCGTATACTAAGCAGGATTTCGGTTTTATTGGTAAAGGAGAGTTAATTAAAAATGTAATAGTTGAGGTATTACTCGAAAAATGCTAGCAACATAGCTATTATTCAATCTCGCAATTTCCCCCACACATATTTTGTCCCTGACGACTTCAGGAATATACCTACTCTTTCCAGTCATCTAACAATGCTAAATGAGTTCACACTAAGAGTGCTTCACCATGTGTGGGCAGGGCAAGCCGTAGCCATGGGTTAAAAGATAATAAGCAAGCAGCGTTCAGACTCTGCGACGGGTACCGCTTCGGTCCGTGAAGTCGCGCGAGTGCTTTCGACTCCGCCACAACGCGTCCAACGCACGACCCGAAGCGCTGCCGTTCAAGTATGAACGCTGGGCCGAATATAAAAAAAAAATAAACAAACAAACTTCTGAGAGACATGAAATTAGAATTGGGCACCATTCTCTAATCTCCAATTCCTAACGGCTTTTGAGTTTTTTTATTCAAAGAATTCTCCAGTTGATTCCCTTCCCTCGAAATACTGCTGTGGAGCAGGGGGATAGATTGGAAAGGAAAACAAAGGAAAAGTACAAATAGAAGGAAATACAATCAAAAGAAAAATAAGAAATACTGGAAAAAATATAAGGTAAAATAAAGGAATTCACAAGAACGGAAACCGGGTATGAAATATTTCCAGCAAAGGGCAATTGCGACTTCCCTCCTTCGAGCGACCAAATACGACACACCTTGTTGAGGCTTCCCAAAATACTGTGTGTCCCTATTAGAACAATGATAGTTGGGAGCCGTAATCAGTAGTCCAAAAACTGCGGGCTTCGATGGATGGGTGCAGGATTTGATCCTCTTTCCATGGCAAGGAAATCTCTCCAAGCGAACACTAGCGCCAAGTACAAATTGTCTCAATGGCACTTCACTCGCGTTGTTCAAAAATAGTCGAAAAAGGGAGCAAAACAAAATTGCACTCAGCTACTCAGGTCACTCATACTATACCAGATACGGTTCTCCTAGAAAACAAAAATGTTCGTAATGTCTTATAAACTGATGCCTCTCCCTACCCCCTCCTCCCTCGCCCCCTCCCCTTTCAGCGTCTCCGTCGCAAATATAATAGTCTTAGACAATCAGTGGTCGCGAAAAAAGGCAAAAAAAAATAGTGAAAAAAGTGGCGCCAGATCGAAAAATATCACAAGGGAAAATGGCGAAAATCTTACAGACAATCTGGTGCTAACGTAAAGTAACTCACTTCAATACCATATTTACATTTCTCCGCATCCAAAACCAAATTCGAAAAGCGCGCCGTACCACTGGCAAGTGGCCCAAGCATAATGTTCTCGGATACTCCTAAAAGAAAACCTTTTTGAAAGTACAACCTCTCGCAACAAGGTCTCGGCAATAGTCACCTTTCACAGGATCTACTTCCGCATGTACAGCCGCTTCCATCAGAATATCAACGGTTTCTTCGAATGAACAGCGCATCAAGGCACCCACTTCCTGCCTGTTGATTCCGTGACGAGTGATAGCCATTAAATGACCTGTAAAAGAAAATAACCTTGAAATTCTGACAAAAATATTAGCCGAATCTACCTTTAGCCGTCATCACGTCACAAAGAAGAGCCAAGTGACGGTAGTTAACATAAGAACCGTCGAAAGAAATGACATTGTTCATTTCACGTTCGATAGCTTTACGTACTGCTTCAATTCCCAACACCTGAATATGAAATGTATTCAGGGAGCTCTTAAAATTCACAGGAAAAAAGCAAAAAAGCAACCTCAAAGATTTCGCAGATGTCATTGGAAGTGGTGCGCACAGGATCGATGTGTTGCTCCGAGAGCACCTAAAGGAAACAGCGGATGAGAAAAGAGCGGTATTCGCGAAAATTATCATCACTCACTTTCAGCAAAGCAGTTCCGTCAGTTTCAAGAAGCCATTCAGAAATGGCCTTGAACCCTCCTTCGGGAGTGATTACGACGCGTTTCTTGTCATCCGTCGTTGGTTTGTGCATATAGACTTTCGAAATCGAGCCAATACCCTGCAATCACTAGGTGTGTGAACGGTAGCGCCTACGAAAACTACCATTCAGCCAGAGAGACGGAGGAACTGACCTGCAGGGTAAGATCAGACAACATATTTGACTCAATGCAACGCAGGAAGACATCGTCCTCCATTTTATCCACTTGTTCAACCTGCAGAAAACCCACAAGTAATGGCATTGCTGATACATACACAAATATCCTAGAAGCGAAGAGGGCGTGGCTGCGTATTTCATTTAAACGTTTAGGATGCGTTTTTTCGTGAGATATTTCCTTCTAAGCCAATTGATATCTTGTGCTGTACTGGGCAGAAACATGATTACACTTGTCTCAGAATGGCAACACCCCTTCAAGGGTATAGTCGCCTACACGCTACAATGGAGTACGCAGCCACGCCCTCTCCATCTGTGGGATATGGGGTGTACATGCTACGCTAAAGAAGCTGAAATTTCAGCACCTCTGCAGCTTTGTCGGAAGGCTGATTGGTGATGCGAAGTCGGAACACAAGCTTGTCAGCATTGTCGTCAGTGTAGATCACATTAAGGTCATCTCCAAATCCTTGCTGGATCTTGTCCGCGATGTGCTCCATACTTAACTTCTTATCCGTCATTCTGAAAACAATCATTATTGTTACCGATATTGTTCAATAGTTTTGAAAAGAAAAAAACTTAGTGTGCGACGGAAACGTAGTACACAATACGGCACAGAATGGAAGCAGTAAGCAAATTCAGCGAACGAACCTCTTCCTATCAAGTTCTAGGCGAAGTACCCAAGGAGAAGCACGGCTTGGATCGAAGTCCGCCATTTCGTAGAAAATACTGACCCACTCCTCGTCTTCCTCGATACAGGTGTTTTTCGGATCAGGATCGTAGTAAATCGCAGTGTTGGACACAACCTGGAATTTGATTGTTGGAAAGACCATTAAGAAAGAAGGATAATAAGGAATACCTTTTTCAGCGTCGTATGTTCAAGCTTGCAAAGGACATCTTTCGCCTTCTCTGCATCTTTTGCGGCAGCTCCCTGTAGGAACACCGTCAGCGAAGGGGTCTTCAGCTGTTTTGATACGTTGATGATTTCCTTCAGTCGAGGTACACCAAGTGTTACGTTCTGCAATATGAAAAAATGATAAGTGTGAAAGAACCAGAATAGAAAGCAAGCCAATATAGTCTGCCCAACCTTTGCAGACACACCAGCGTAGTGGAAAGTGTTCAAAGTCATTTGAGTGGCTGGTTCTCCAAGTGATTGAGCAGCCAAAGCGCCAACCATTTCACCCGGTTGAGCAATCGCTTGTTGGAATCGGGTTTCAATTTCACCTAAACATGTAAAGCTTTGAATGAAAGAACTTGTTTCCTAAAGTATCAAAGATACCAACCAATCAACCAGTCGAACGCTTCCATGTTCAGCTTGTGCGTCGATGCCATTTTCTTCGAACAAAGCGTTGATCGAATCAAAATATTCATCAAAAGAGTGGCATTATATTGAGCCTAAATCATATCAGAATGTCCATAGCGTATGGTGAGCTAACAGTAACATCTCCTACCTGCTTCGAGATCTTATCTTCTCCGGATACGATTATCAGTTTTTTCGAGAGCTTTCTTACTCCTTCTATAACGTGCAGAGGGCTGAGACTTGTCACTTTGCTGTAATCGGAAATATAATAAAGGAGAAAAAAGTTGGGTCTTATACCAGAGCTGTAGCATTCGTGCGTTCATACTCTGCGCCAGCATTTTGTGCATTCTGAGCGTCGCTGAGCGTTTTAAGCGACATAAAAGTGTCGCTACTTGATAATTTCTTCTGTGCATACGAGGTTGGTAGGTGGAAACTTTATTATGGCCTGACGTTTCGACTAGATCGTCTTCATCAGAGGCCCAGTCCACCACAGCGAAAGCGGAAGTAACCGCTCAGTTAGTTGTTAGTATAACTGATCCAGCGTATCGAGCGTCCGCCAGCGTTTTAGCGCCAGCATTCCAAGCGCCCAAGAGCGTTTTTAGCGCTTTGAGCGACTAAGAAAGGTATGGGTATCGGTTACCGCTGAAAACGCCGACGGATACTCAAGACGGTGGCGGACGCCCAAAACACCAAATCGATACGTGTACTT